CAACCTATGTATTTATTTATATTTTTTATTAGAACAATGGCAAAACGTTCAAACACGAATGAGTCTCATGACACAAGTAGTAGCGAAGATGAGCTCCGGATAGACGTTTATACAGATATGTTAGAAAGACTAACTGTAGAAGGTTTTCTTCTACAGTAGAAAGACTAACTGTAGAAGGTTTTCTTCTACAGTTAGTCTATCGTTTTGATAGCAGCGATAGCAATATCGTCCAAGCAACAAGGCGACGAGAGAAAGAGTTCGCATAGATAGCGATTACAACAACAAAACAAAATTATAAAACAAACAATAACAAAATTATAAAAAATAAAATATTGATCTTTTTGCAAATTTCTCGATTTCAGCCAAATTCATATAAGTCCAATATCATTATAATATGTTAGTTAGTTCCAAAACCATACTAAATAATACGAGGGTCTGTAAATGCCCGTTTCTGCCGAAAAGTGGCGCCGAGTAGTCGGTAGCCAACGTCCAGAATGGTTCGGAGTGCTAAGGGTTAAAATCTGTACGGTACGACTCCATTTATGTGAACTCGGCGAGAACAATCGCTTCATATAACCGGACAGGTTCACGTAATAAGAGGACAAGCAAAAGAAAAACTGCTGAGTTTACATTTGTTTATGTTCACGATGCCTAGATGTACGCTTAATTGGACTTAATTTATACGCTCGATAGTGGCTCGGACAATAGGAGTTCAGCAAAAGCTCACTAAATCGAGCATTCCCTAAAGTTTCGTTCCAACAAATGGAATCCAGATAAGTGGAGTTCTATAGCGATATACTCGGAACGATCATTTCGTGGTTGATTTAGATTTACACGGCAATTAGTTTTGGATTAAAGAAGCCTGTTTGTTGCATAAAGAATACAAAGTTTTAAACAGTTTCATGTTTCCTCCCTGTACGGATATACAGTAAATTCTCGCTAATTTTCCTGCAGCTTGTAAACAAAAGTGGATAACTTGCGATTATCCGAGTCTCGCGGCTCATTTTTACAGCTCACTTTTATATAGATGGTCAACAATTATCAAAACGAGATACAAGGCTCAAACAATCGTGTCTCCTCTTCCCAAATGATTCATTCTTGTTTGCAAGCCGAAGACAAATTAGGGAGAATTTACTGTACCGTGGCTAATTGGTATCTACAGATTGGAGTCACGAACGTGATTAAAAAGCAAATGTATCAGGTTATTATAGCTACTTAATGCAGCGTAATCTGCTCGCTCCGGTTCCACCCTGTTCCCCGACTGTTTGAATCCACTTCGAGTTCCTCCGATCCCCGTGGATCAGCGTGGATGGGTTTCTGAACAAGGAGGAAGGTTAAAATGGCTTCTAACCGGCTCGAGGCAGATTCGTAGTCGAATCAGGCCGAGGCGCGCGTGGAAGCCAGCTATTAAACAATGATCGCTGTTGTTTCAGCTTGCTAAAACCGTGTGGATCGACGAATCTTGAGGGCAAATAGTGAAAACAATACGCATACGCGCGCGCGCGCGCGCGCACAGAGGGAGGAGAAGCATAAAAACGTTCATCTGTTCGAGTGCGAAAAGCGAGGCTTTGATTTCGAGCGTGCAAAACAACGGACGATAGGCATCCGCGAAAACCAAAGCGAGTTTCATCGCGCGGATGCGCAGCCACGGTCCATTTAAACGTCACTGACCGAAACGGCACGAAATAAAACCATTCGATCGGGCTCGCGCTTTTTTTTCCTCTCTCCTTTCCCGACCTCGACTACCGATAGAAATCGTATACAATTCGTCCGTTGGGGTCTATCGTGTCGAAACTTAATTCGGTACTCGTTATCGAGAGCGATTGCTATTACGCTCGTTAGGTTTAAAACACACGGACACGGAAATGTGTGTGTCGAACTTGTGGCAGTTGTTGAAAGAACCGTGGAAACGGATCATACGAAAGATTGAGTTTACGGAAATAAGTAGTTGACGCGCTGTTGTCTTCAACTTTCTTCGATTTCGTATTCAATGTTGTCGCGTACGTTAATTTTCAGTTGTTGCATGCAAGCAGGTTACTGCGGGATGACCAATTGCTGTGCCTTTGATTTGTTCTCGGGTATGATTAATTTTGTGTTTATCGAATTGAATGTATTAAATCTTTTTATTAAAAAAATAAACAAAATAAACTAAGAAGAGAATATAATATGTGTTATGCAATAAATATAAAGTTAATTATGCTCGAAGAAAAATCAAAAGCACAGCAATTTGTTATTATACATAGCATTACTTCAAAATCATTGAAATAATTTACTCGCGTAATGATACACGCGTTTCATATTTAAATCTTGAATTAAAAAACTAAAGAATGTAAGAAAAAGTAAACGTATATTCTTGGTTAAACTGTGGTACG